AGGCCTCTCCTCAGCAGCTCTTCCTGGGGCTGTCGGGCACCTGTTCCTCCCTCTCCGGGCCAGCCCCTACTCCGCTTCCGTCTCTCGGCCTCCATCCCTTGCCTCCCAAAGAGCAGGGCGTCCCAGGAGGGGCTCAGGGAGCAGCGGGGGGGGGGGAGCTGAGGTGTCTTCCTCTGCGCTGCTGGGAAAACCCTCCCCCCCCACCAGTCTTTTTCCTACCTTTCCAGGTGGCCTTTCTGGAGATGCTGGTGTGGCGGAGAGGAAGGAGCCCTTTCTCAAGTTGCCGTCTGCAGACCAGGGCGGGGTCACGCAGCCTGGCTCCGCCACAGGGGCCTCCCCCCCAGCAAACAGGTGATCATGCCGAGTGTCCCTGGATCCCCATCAGATCCCCGTGGATGCAGCCGGCCACCCTTTCCGCTGGGAGGCTCTTCCTTCCCTGCAGAAACGTCAGGGAGGGAAGCACTGTCACCCGTTGTCTCCTTCCAGCAGCTCACGAGGCGGTCAGCTGGGAGAGCGCAACCTGAACCTGGACCCCCTGGAAGCCGCCCAGGCCACCAAGGCAGAGACTGAGCCAGCCCTCGCCCCCCCTGTGCTGGAGGTCAAGTGGGAACCGGCTGGGCCTGTGCCCGGTCCCTGGGGGCAGGACCTAGCCCATCCCTACCGCAGCGCATGCCCAGCCCAGCAGATGCCAGAGCAGCTGCCAATCTCCCGAGCCGCCCACAAAGAGGTGCAGTGCTCGCTCTGGAGCCTGGACGCCTGTTGCCAGTGCAGCTGCTCCAGGACCAAGAGCAGCCTCCCTACCTGGCCAGGTGAGAGTGCCCCAGAGGCAGTCGGGGGGACGGTGCTTTGCTCCAGGGAAACAGATCAACCCGTCTGGGCCCAAGAGACCAGCAGCCGGGGCAGCAGGTTGTCCAGGAGGGACGCCTTTGGGCTGAAGGTCGTCCTCTGAGGTAGGCGGCGGGTGCCAGTTGGCTCCACTCTTTTTGTTGTGGGGCAGAGCTCTTAAAGCGGGCCGTTTGTCTCTTCGCAGATGGTGCCAGGGTGCCCAGGGCGTGTGGGGAGGCTGGCCCCAAGACTGTCAGGGAACAGGCCGACTGGCAGATTGAAGCCCTAGTGCTGAGGAGACAGCTGCTGGGATCCTGGCCAGTCCCAAACCTGCCCTCCAGGTAAATGAGAAGTGGGGAGGGGGAGGAACCGGCCTGCAACTGCCTGGGGAGGAGCTGCGTGTATTTGAGCCTCCTGCCAGGCAGCAAACCCAGTGCCCAATTACACACACACACACACACACACACACACACTGACCCTCCAGACATTGTCTCAAGTCTGAGCAGGGCAGTGGTGGACACGCTCCCTCCCTCCCTCCCTCCCTCTGTGGGAAGAGCTACCAGGCGGCTCCAGGCCACTGGGGCGCTTGCTTTCAGCATGGCATCTCTTGCCTCCTCAAGACGGGAAAGCCAGTGGGGGAGCAAGCGATGTCATTGGCCATGTCTCTTGGCTCCCTGATGCCTCTGCTCAGGCAAGCTTTGGGAAACAGTACAGAAATCTGGAGGAGCCATCTACTGGAGGCCAAAAATGGGAGACCAATGGCTAAGAAAGGCTCAAACCACCAGGACCTAGGCAGAAGGTCCATGCTTCTGGGCTGCAAACCTCAGGCTAAAGCCATGTTTTTCAATGTTGGCAACTTTAAGATGTCACTGTCCTAAAGGCTCTCTTCCTTCAGCAATCACCCTCAGGATCACTTGCTCTCCTTCAGTGCGATGTTTCCAGAAAGGTTATGCACTGGGGGCCCAATATTTTCACAACTTGTGCCTTCCAGAAGACAAGAACAAACTTCCAGGAACTCCTGCCAGAACAATCACACTGTTGAGTCCAACTCCCTGGTCCAAATTCAGGCATCCCACACAGATGGCCTTTGGAGGATTCCAACAAAGGAGCCCACCACCACCCTTCTGGTGGCAAGGGTTGATGCAGGAATCCAGATTAAAACACTCCAGATACATGGTTGTATAGCCTTTGCTTGAACCAAAGCTGCTGTCTGTCATGGGTTCCACTGTTGCTGCTCTCACTGTTAATTTTTTCTTTCAAAACTTTCAGTAGGAATCCATCCTGTCAATCAATCAACAGCTTAAATCTTTACTCTCTGTCCTGTGCTCTAGACACAGAACAGTTTTTTTGTCATTTTTTATGTGACATTTTTTCTAGCTGTGAAGAACATTGTGATGTTCCCTCTCAGCCTTCACAAAGCTGAACGTTCCCAGCTTCTTCAGTCTCCCTAAGAGTCTGTTTCTAGATCCTTGGTTGTCCTCATTGCTTCTGAAATTATTCCAGTTCTCTGAACCCTTTAGATGTCCTCCAGACAGGTCACAGTACCTCAATAGGGATTGTCCCGGGCGAAGGAGGGACGGGCTGTGAGAGGCCCACCCACAAGGTGGTGGCTGCATTTTTTATTGCTGCTGTTTGCCCATGCCCCCTCTGCCAGGTGACCCCACTGTTTAGCCTAAAGAGTTGTTTAACTTTCTACATACTCTTCCAAAATGATCTATTTCCATCAAATTGGGCTGCAATTTCTTTTAATTTAACTTAATGTAATTTGATCTCTGGGCTACATTCTTTGCAACTGTCTTTTCCTCTATATATGCATTATACAATATCCCTCAGTGTCATTTTTTTTCATAATCCTCTACTATGCATTTTTCTCATCCACAGCCTCTTTCATGTCATCGTTCCATCAAGCATTTCACAATTCCTCTCAGTATAACTCCACAAACTGCTGTGGCGCTCTGTTTCATAATTCTTTTCATGGAATCGGACTTGAAAGGAAGGGCAGAAGTCATCCGGTCTACCCTCCTGCTTGGTGCAGGAACTCTAGGGCAGGACAGATGGCTATCTAATTTCTGAAGACCTCAGGTGACAGGGAGCATACCTCTTCATGAGGCTACCTATTCCACTGGTTGACAGCCTCATTCCTCCTCATGTCCAACCTGAATCCTCCTTGTAGTTTCAGCCCACTGATTCTAATCCAGCCCTCTTCAGTAAGAGAGGACACCTACTCTCTCCTTTGAATTCATTCTGTTAGAAAAACCTTCAGCTTCCTTTTTCTCTTGGTTCTGTTGGGCAATGAGTCTGTTTTCTAATACGTTTTCATTCTGGGTTCATGCATTCTCTTCCCACAGTCATTCTACCTGAGTTTCTTTCCATTCTTCCCTTTTCTTCTATGCCTGTTTATCCCAAGCTCCACGCTTGACATTGTAGTGGTTTCTCTGACATTCAGAAACTCTTACCACCCTTGTATCCTTTGCTAATCCTCTCAGACTTTCATCATAAACAATCAGATCTATTGTGGCTTTAGATTTATTTTCATTCCTTTGTCATAGATATGTACGAATAGATTTAAGCTTAAACCACGTATTCAGAACGGACCTTCTTTTAGGCAGATGTTCACCAAGCAGTCACTGTTCTCATTCACTTTGAGTTTCCAAATGGCCCAGTCACTTTTTCTGTACTCTCTTATCTCGTTCCCACCCATATATTTATGTCACCTAGTGGAACATTTTGTCCTGGATCACATTCATTCAAATGATTGCCAATTTTTTCCCCAAAAGTCATCACGGGTTCTTCTGTTTCCACTGTACATTAGAGCACAATGTGCAGCTGTCCCCAGCACATGCATTTCTACTTTCACACATGCCCACAGTAATCTAGGTGACACCCATACATATTTTCTGACATGATTTGACCCTTTCATTCCTCCTTTAACCTAAAACCTCACTTCCTTGCATGTAATCAGCTCCAGTCCAGTTGTGTTTTCAGTATTTTCTTTTTAAAAAGAAATTTATAACCAACTTGAGCTTTTTTTTCCCATACTCCATGGAAGGAGTATGTATGCATCCATGCTTGCATGTATTTGTTTATTTATTTATTTTTGTTCTGAGTTAATTACAGCTATTGTCTTGAATCTTGGGTATGTGTTGAAGCGCACTCAACTTTAGCTTCCCTCCATAGTAAGCATTCTAGCATACGTGAGCCTATCTCCACATCCTTGACTAAGCCATCCTCTCAGTCAAGGATAGCTGATTCTCTTGTGCCTTCTTTCACCTCCTAAAGGAGAAAGCTACCCTCAGGACAAGCCAGGGATTTCCCGGAAGGACGTATTTGGCACAATTTGGGGTAATTAAAGTCTCCCATCACTGTGACTTTCTGCTGTTTGGAGAGATCTTGGTTTGCTTCTGTGTAGCAAACTGAATGTGCCTCGTTTTTTTCTTTCTTTTCCCAGCTTTTCTCCAAGTGGCCTAGTTAGCATTGAACCTTGTCCAGAGGAAAGCCAGGGCGTGGCTTGTGCACAGGTAAGGCCCACCTGCAGAGAGTTCCCATGGGGCTTTGTGAGCTCCTGTCTAGAAGATGCCACAGCACAACTTCTTCCCACCAGCTCTTGGCTGGTTTTCTGTTCTTGTGGGGTTTTGCTGGATTATTGTTCGTTTTATGAAGACCTCTTTTGGGGAGGCCATCGTCCTTAATGGCTGCCTAAAATGATTCTATTTTAAGCAATGAGTTGATAAAAGAAAAACATTTTGAATAATGAAATCAAGTAAGGGCAGCAGGGTTGGATTAGGGAGGGGACGCTCCACAGTCCCTCAGAAGAAAACAGGAGGCCTCACCTGGTTTGAGGGGACGTGAGTGAGGCGCTTGGAGAATGTGCCAGATGGACGATGATGATAAGCGAATACCACGAGGTATTGTGCTGCTGCTGAAAGGAGGAGGGAGAGGGCAGCCACCGCAGCTACTACCTGTGAGAACATTGTCCCAAATTTTCAGCCCTTCCTGTTGTGGGTGAGCAGTTCCTGCTGGTTGGATTTGTCCCCCAACCTCTTGCCTCTGAGTAACCCGGCAGAGAGTCCGGGGAAGCCTTAAACCGGGGAGTGGGATTGCATCCTGTCTTCGCTCAGAGAGGCTGCAGCAGCCATGTGGTTGGACCCATTCTCTGTCTGGCTCTCCTGAAGGACCATGGCACGGTTTGATGCAATGATAATGTAAAGGATGGGCAAGATGGAAGTATAATACATCTATTCATTTGGAGGGGCAGCCCCTAAAAAACTGCCCTTCCCAGATTCTTCAACTGGTCAAAGTCACCCAGCTGGCTTTCCTGCTTAAGGCAGGACCAGAACTCACCGTCCCCTGCTTCCTAGCCTGGTACCTTAACCACTAGACCAACTGGCTCTAGTTTTCATGATCCTCTGCGGGGAGAAACCCTGGACTTGGTCTTAAGCCCTCGGGGATGCACACGTCTCCCCCAGCTGCTGCTGGCTGGGAAGTTTGGGAGTTGTAGTCCCACCATAACTGGACCTGGTGAGTGAAGCTGGTCGTTGCTCCTGGGCGGCAGTTAATTGATGGACTGGGAGTATAGGGACAGTGGTAGACGCAACAAGTTGGAAAAGAAGGAACAAGTGTCTGTTGTGAAGTTCTCGGGCGGGAAAGGCTGGGGGGACAGGAATCACACACGGAAAGGGTCTTCTCTTCCTTCAGCACATGGTTCAAACTGAACAGTCTAGATAAATTAATAATAATTACGTGTATTATCTTTCGGTGAAATATATTCCCCAGCCCAGGAAATGGAGGCCTTTTTCCTCCCTTTGCAGGATGCCCTCCTGCCCCAGGAGACCAGCAGCCAGGCTGGGGCGGGTGAGCAAGCAGGGAGTCCTCCTCCTGGTTCTACTTCGCCTCCTTTTCCTACGGATGTGAAATTTCAGGTATGCCCAGGTTTGGCTTCCTTTGGAAGGAAGTTACAGGAGACTGATGGGTATTGTGTAATATGCGGGTTTACAGATAGACATACAGGCTGTTTATGGATACTGCCAAAAGATGGCAGAGTTTCCTGCCAGTTTCCAAATTCTGATTTCAGCTGCCCTCACAGTCGTCTGTTTACGTGGACGCTGCGCTTTGGCCTTGTTTCATCCCCACTCCCAGCCTCCATAAAGTTGTTGGCTTAAGTCGTTAGTTCTGTGGCCACGTGTGGCCTGTCTGGAAACCGGTTCTGTCTGGTGCACCAGTTACCGCCACTCCTAGGTCAGGAGGCCCTGCTCACGGTCGCCCCACGATCACCCATGGCTGCAGTGCACTCTTCAGGGGCTGCCCTTGAAGACCGCCAGGAGCTACAGCTAGTCCAGGATGCGGCGATGAGTAGTCATGGGTATGCCTTGGTAAATCCATGATATATCCCTACTACACGTGATGAGTTGCGGTTGGCTTCTGCGGGCAAGTCAGAATGCTGGTGGTCACCTTTAAAGCCCTGCAGGGATTAGGGCCTGAATATTTTGGGGGCCGCCTGCTCCCAGCAGCACCTGCTCATCCACATTCCCTTTGGGGTCCCCACCCTAAAAGAGTGTCGTCATCGGGCCCTTTTCTACTGTTGCCCCCCTTCTACAGAAGGGCATCTCCCCTCCTCCCACCCAGATCATGTCAGCACTAACCTGGTTGCCACCAGGAAAGACATTAAGACCTGCCCCTTCCAAGGCACTTTGAGAGCTGGCAGCTCCCTTGCAACCACTGATGGGCAGATACTTCGATGTGAGGATTCCTCAGGGTGAGAGGACTTGGTTATGCAGAGTTGCGTTGTGCTCTTGCGTTCTTCAGCCAGCTTACTGGGCTTGCGACTGGAGCAGCCTGAGTAATTAATAACAACATCAGCAACGACGACGACTCATCAGGATGCTTCCACTGATCACAAGACTGGCTGCTTGGAAGGCCCCCCGAGCAGGCCAATTGCTGCCCCCCGCACCTTGGTTGGGAGGGGGCCGTCAGCAGCAGAGAAGCCGGCCCACGCAGAGCGCAGGGTCTCTGGCTGCAGCTGCTGCTGGGAGCAGGCGGTCCCCAAAGTATTCGGGCCCTAATCCCTGCAGGGCTTTAAAGGTGACCACCAGCATTCTGACTTGCCCCCAGAAGCCAACCGCAACTCATCACGTGTAGTAGGGATATATCATGGATTTACCAAGGCATACCCATGACTACTTGTCGCTGCATCCTGGACTAGCTGTAGCTCCTGGCGGTCTTCAAGGGCAGCCCCTGAAGAGTGCACTGCAGCCATGGGTGATCGTGGGGTGACCGTGAGCAGGGCCTCCTGACCTAGGAGTGGCAGTAACTGGTGCACAAGAGCCCCACACTCAAGAGGCCAACAGTTATGGGTTCATGCCTGGTTTGCTAAAATACTGGGAAATGAAGAGAGAGGGCGGCTGCATCACGGTTGCTTACTTCACCGGTTTTTAGGGCAATTTCTGTGTTTGTGCACATTCATGGCTGCACATGAGGGGAACCTGACATTTAATTGCTGTTCTGCTGTTTCATTCGTTGTGTCCAGCTGTTTAAGTGCCCCCCCCGCATCTCCAGATGGGAAAAGCCCCTCTTGTAATCCAGTACCCTGCTTTCTGGGTTTCCCCCAGGTGCTGTGGGATTCCACGAGCGATCCAGTCGCCATCGACACCTTCTGGGCGGCTTTACTGCTCTGTGAATTATCTTCTGGCAGCCCCGTCTGACTTCAGCAGATCTGCGTGGGGCCCTCCCGTTTGGGCCCAACCAAGCGTCCTGCAGGGGTGTCTCGCTGCTGCCCCAAGAGACGGGGGGCTGCTTTGGCTCAGTCGTGGCGGCACCTAGTTGGTCCTGACCAGAGGCTCCAAGCTGGCAAAGCTTGTTTCGATGAGGGGTTAAGGCTGTTGAGCTGGTTGCAGGGGCCACACGCACCCTTCCAAAGTAGGCCCACCTTTGGCACTCCCTGCGTGGTGATGTGGGGAGAGGGAGGGGAGGAGGAGCCCGATCACTTCCCAGACAAAAGGAGGCTTGAATGTTGGCCGCGGTTCTCATTTGCAACAGGTCCTACTGGGAGTAGTGGAGCCAGTGCTTCGAGGGCTGGGGGCCCCCCGAGCGGATGTTCCCCCGTCTTCCCCAACACACCTCCTCAAGCCAACCACGGACCCTTCCCAGCTCTGGCCCCCTTCCTACCCTTGCCGTGTCTTGCTGTGCGGGCTGGCCACACAGTGGCCGTGGGGCTTCTCAGGAGAGAAAGGCGGGCGTTGTTGACCCGGGCCAAAGCCCTGCGGGTAGCTGGTTACGTGTTCCTCGAGGAAAGCTGCGTACATTAGGCAGGATTCAGATCCTGATCGTGGGTGGCTGTTTTTGTTCAACAGGTTTGCACTAGGATACATACACCGGTTTATAAAGCCCTACAGGCGAATAAAATTTGTTTCTAGTATCCTGGGTCCATCAGTTTTTGGCAGGGCAGGCAGCTTAGCAGGTGGTCAGCGTCCCGTCTGGAAGAAGGCAAGCATGCCTGGGGTAACGAGTTTGGCTGCATGCTTGAAAAAGAGAACCTCGAGCAGGGAATGTTGCACGAGTGTGACTAAGGCTTTAACCTGTCGCACGCCCTGCCTGGAAGGGTTGTCCTAAAGCCTCCGCTGACCGCAGAGGTCACCATCGAAGCCCCTCTCTGTGACAACCTGGGAATGCCACAAAGCGCCCCTTGGAGTGCAGGAGCAGCAAAGGAATCAGCAGTCAAAGTAAAGCGGACACGCTCTGTGTCTGCGCATTAAGGGGGGAAATAGCCGGCCTCTGGGCTTAAGGAGCGGGCGCAGGCGTAGGCGCAGGGGAGCGGAGCGCGCGAGTTACAGATTCAGCTGAGCCGCGCACTGGAAAGGGGGGATCGGCGTCCTCTGCAGGGTTGTGCGCGCGGCGTGGAAGTCTTCGTGGG